TGAATTTTCGAATTTGAAAATAAAAGAGAATATAATATAGAGTAATTTCATATTTGGTATTGGGTAAATTTTAATTTTCAAACTTCGAATTGTGAAAAATTTTATTTTGAATTTATAATATGGATATAAAAAACTTGTTGTGGTTGAATTAATATGGAGTAATTTTTTGTTCATAAATAATAATGATAAAGATAGAAAAAAATTCAAATATTGTTGGAGTAATATAATGATGAAGAAATCTGCACAAATATTAGAAGTCAATAAAATTGAAATTACAACAGCACAATTATTCGCTATCAGAATCGTCATTTTCTACATATACAGTATCTTCTTCTGTATCTGAACCGTCTATCCATTCACCTTCTTCCTGATATTGAGCGTTTTGTTGTGCTACATACATTTCCTCAATTTCGCGCTCAGATGGAATGGTTGGGTCTGGAAGGTGCGTTTCTGGCATGACTTCAACTAGTCCGCCATTTGGATCACTTAATTGGATGTCATAGTTGACCGTCTCAACAATAGGCGGAGGTTGGAAAAATTGTTGCTGAAAAGCATCTAGATCAACGTCCTTGTGTTGAGTTTGTGATTTTATTTTGTTCGGACGGACAGGACATGCACACACCCAAGGATTCTGTGTCCGCCTTGTTGAAGGATATTCTGCATAATAAATCTGCGCTGCTTGTTGGGCGAGTATGAAAGGCTCATTTTTCGGGTACACACGAGACTGGTTGACGTCAATCATATTATACTTCGGATTTTTGCGCACACCACGTGTGGGGTCGACCCATGTGCAACGGAACAGAACGCATGTCAATTTTTTCGCACAAGAAGGCATCTCAAGTTCCAGAATCTCCTGCAGGACACCAAAAAAATTGGTTTCCGAGTTATCATAACCGATGGTCGGGACACATAACCCGCTGTTCGTTGTTGGTCGGCCCTCTCCGTAATCGGCTGTGTGATATGTGTAACCGTTTATCACATATTGCCGCCACACTTTGGCACTGGCACCTGGGCCCCACGCTAATGATACTAACAAAGGGTCGACAATCCCACGACTATTGATCTGTAAATATAAACATAATAATAACATTAGGTAAACATTAGGTAATATATATAATTAATGTGTGTGTATATATACCTGATACTTGTACCAATTTACAAAATCAGAGTCCACCAACGCATCAATTTCATTCTCAGGAAAGGCTGATAAAGAAGCTCGGAATTCACTGTGAAGTCAAAAATAAAATAAAAACTATAAATTAACTACAAATTTAATTTATAAGTATTACAATTATAACTACAAATTTAACTTACTGATAAAACGGTGAGATTTCTGGACAATTCATGAGGATATAAGTATGCGCAATTTGCAATTCCCCACCCAGGATGTATCGTTGTGTCGCAGCACCTTTACCTCTGCCTGGGTAATTGAAGATGGAAACTACATTTTCATATAAATCCTCGCCAATGTCATCGATCCGGGCAGGTCTCTTCCTTCTGGTGATGACGTCACGCTCGAAGTAAAAACCAACTTCGTCGTGAGAAGTCCAATTATAATAATTGGGAACAAAACCGACCGCGTACAAATCATACCCAACTTCGTGTGGGTCTTTAAATTTGAGATTTTTACACTTTGAACATGGACATCTTATTTTATCACCACTCATATAAGCCGGATGTTCAAGTGCAAATTCAATAAATTCCCCGACTCCCTCGAGAAAATTTGATTGCATTCCGTACAATACCGCATCTTTATCATACATCCAACTTCTATTTTGTTTATACATAATGCCTGAATATTATAATAAAAAATTATATGAAATGCAATGCACACAATTTTAAGTAATTTATTTCACTAAATTTAATCAACTAATTTTCACTTTTTTTAAATGAAATGCACAGAATTCTCAACAATAATGCACAAAATATATGTCCCCTAATGCACAATAATGCAGATAATTTCACTAAATTAAACATACGTTTAATTAAATCTAACTAATTCATTTAGTTAAATTTAACTAAATTTAACTAGTTCATTCCGTCCCCTTTTAATGCATCAATACGTTTAAACCTACGTTTAGCTACCTAATTTAACTTAATTAACACATCAATAGCTACGTTCAAACCTACGTTTAGCAAACGAATTTTAATTAAATTATTTTTGTAAACCTACGTTTAAACCTACACTAAATTAAATTATTACGTTAATGACATTTATTCTTATTAGTAATACACAATTAACAATTCACTAAATTAAATAATATGACCAAATTCAACCCAATAATTTGAACATGTATATAAAGTTATTTGAATTAATAAGCAATACACAATTCACAATAACAATTCACAATTCACTTAATTAACACATTACTAACGTACGTTATTTGAACTAATTTCACTAAACATAAACATCATTACGTTTTAAACCACATTTAGCTAACTAATTTTAATTAAATTATTTTAATTTATAAACCTAAAAGTTTAACTAATTCTAATTTATGACATTACTACGCTTATAGTTAAAACATGTTGTTAATTAATTAACAACCTCACAAATTTAATAGTTTTACTAATTTAAATTGAACCAACTAATTCTAAATAAAAATTATAATTCAAATAACATACCTCATCTGCATAAACAGGGAAAATGATAGAAGATAGACTACATCCTTCGATCTACGGATACTGTATATACTGGGAATGAAATGGGGTGATCCTGTTCAATGAGCTGCTCCTGCATATATAAAAAATTTAGTCACGGACTTAGTCACGGATTTGTCCGTCACTAAGCAAAACCGTGTCCAATACGCGTCCAACACGTGTTAATGACGTGTAAATGACGTGTTAATCAAAGTAGTCACGGAACTAGTCACGGATATGGCCGTGACTAAAATTATCCGTACATAATGCCGTTGCGAATTAACTAACGGAGCTGAAAAAAATTAAATTTTAATTATAGTCACGGGTATAGTCACGGATTTGGCCGTGACTAAGTCGTCGGAATTAAATAAACTTCGCCGGAAACGGAAACGGGCCTATCGGAGGACTTAAGTCACGGGCCACGACCGTGACTAACATTAGTCACGGTCATAGTCACGGTCCAGACCGTGACTAGTTTTTTTTTTAAATTTCCGTGACTAGTCCGTGACTAGACCGTGACTAAACTAGTCACGGACCAAATCCGTGACTAAAATCCGTGACTATAACGCTGTTTTTTTGTAGTGCTTACCTGGCTGCCAAAGCGAGGTGGAGAATATAATCTAGATCCTAGAGTTAAAATTGATCTTATACATTTCATTTGTCACATTTAAGTACACATAAAAAATATAGTTCAAAGTTGATGTTTGGCCATTACTCCGTATCTAAAAACTTATAAATGTGAATGAGGGTTAAGCCCTTTTGGGAATATAAAATTTGTTGGTGTAACATGAAAGCTTTATCAAGATGTACTTCGTGGTTAATATGTTGTACCAAATCTATCCTATTCTCCGTTTCCTAACGTCTATCCCGACTCCGTTAGTAAAACCTCAACGGTGTCGCCGTCTTCCTTTACGTTCTAGAGTATCCAGTCCCTTAGAAGATCGGTTAGGGCTAGCCGCGAGCTTAGATGAACACTGGCCTGAACATTCCTCACTTTCCTTCTTTCTTTTGGTCTTCTAATGTAAGTTACTTGTCTTCTGCGCTGTTATTTTCGCAGTTCGTCCCGAGCATATATCTCAATCCAACCATTTTGAATCGGGGAATGCTTGGGTCATCTTCTCTGTGCATTTTGTTTAATGCTTCATCTTCTTCTATGAATCCCAACATCTAAATCACATCCCGTTTCTCTTCAAATGGTCAGGTGATCCGAACAATACCAAATAGTGCAGTTCAATTGTTTGCTTGTGAAACTTACAATGTATGATACCTTTTAACAACTATTGTATTGTAAGTCTTGTTATAGATTCGCACCACTTCACCTAAAATTTGGTTAGAAAATATCTAGGGGAAAGAACAAGAAGCTCACTATGATTGGAAGATTTGTAGCATGTGCATGTGCATGAATGACTTCAACATTTGTAAGTTTTGATTCGGAACTGTCAGATTTCATCCAACATTTTGAATTTAAATGTCAATTGCCAATTGGGAATCATTTACTCGAGAATGTGGCTTTAGGAGTTATATACTGCAGAAAATAAAGGAAACTGAACAAATGTAGTCATCATTCATCTTGGCAAACTAATCTTGTATTGATTAGACAAGCACATGAGATTATAACAAATATTCCTCTATCTTATAGGATCCCATTTCCACAAATCTAAGGAAGTATTTAGTCAAATCCTTCATTGACACACATACAGAGGCATATGTATACAAGTACCCATGTGCTTAAGATTTCCATGGAGAACCAATACAGATGGAATATAACTAATACAGTCATGTTTAGCAATGAAGCCAATGATAACTCACAGAATGGGAGTCTCAATTAGGGAAGAGTCATTCAGTGAGCCACCTCTTTGGTGGGTACTGCTATGAAATAAGCCCCTCCAATGCGTACTGTCTTTTGGGCATTTTCTTTTACTAATTGTCACGCTGGCATATACTTTGCTTGGGTGAATTAAGTAGCTAATAGTCAGAACAAAATCTCATTGTACTATCCTCTTAACCTGGATTTAGATATGTTTAGATTTCATAATCTCAATATGACCACTCTCTTTCCAGTTTTGGTCTAACTATGAAGAAAAGTAAGTCATGTAATCATATAAAAAACATTTTATCAAGTAAATAGAAATCATTTCTTTAATTAGTCACACTTAAGGCTAAGTATTATAGGTCTAGGATCATTAGGATCACATCAAGGGATGATGTGAGGTCCCCATTGGGGGGATATGAACTGAAAGAATTATTAAAGGTATGCACAACATTATTAATGTTTATTGTATTAATATCTTTCAGGTTGCTCATAACATGCTGAGAGAGAGAGGAAGGAATTGGGTCCTTTTATAATGGAATAGGACCTGCTCTTATGGGAATATCACCATATGTAGCTCTTAACCGTATGAGTGTGTCCCAGGTGTTGCTATTATAGAGTTGTTGTGATGGAGTGTCGAGGTTGCTGGGACAACAAGAGGAAGTGGAGTGATATTTTGAAATCTCAGTATTTTAAGGGTTCCACAAATTCAATACACGACAGTCAGTCCGCAAGAACTGCATATGAAAAACAACCATATTCAAGTAAGAGGTTAAAGAGATGTAAGTTCACTATCTTTTGCTTTATCTTCTAACTGTTTGTGCCATGTGGCTTGAATTCTATCTTTAGATATTGTATTTCCTGTTTAGCTCCTTATCATATTGACCTCTACTTACTTAAAAGGTATTGAGCTACGTATGTCAATATATGATATAGAAATACATGTGCGTAGTGGTTCGAAGTGTCATATTTATTTGACCGTGAAAATGTTGCAAGGAGAAAGCTTCTTTCACTTGGTGCTCAAGCACTTTTTGATTCGTAATGATAGTTTACACTTTACAACATGGCAATAGTGAGACTTTTACAAGATTCCTCTTCAACTGGCTGAAGCGGGAGGTGATGTTCGTCTACCCAGTAATAGGGATGTGGCAACGTCAGAGGTTGTTGTGGAAAGGGCGATCTCCTGGTTTGACATCACCCTTTTGAAAGAAGACATGCATATAAAAAGTCACTGCTAGAGGTAGAGATAAGATTTGTCTTCTTTCACATGAGATTTACGGGGCTTTTTTTGGTATGGTTCATTATATTTAAATTTTACAGGTACAGTTATAAATAATCAGTTTTTAATATTAAACTGAATAAATTAGTAGTGTTCAGTAGAAAGGTATGTTTGTGCATTATTTGCTGAAATATTTCAAAAATTGAAACTTAGTTGTAAGCCGCACTTTTCTCTATAGCTTTTATCTTCAGTGTGTTTAAATTTAAGCAAATTCTGGCGAAATATTACATTCGTGCTTTTATTTTTAGCTTCAAAGTGCTTAAAATTTAAAGTTTGACAAGTCCCCAAAGCTTTGTCAAGTTAGCCATTGTCAAAGTTAACAAGTCACTCTAACTAGAAAATAAGCGATGCATTGTGTCAAATTGTGTCAATGCGTGACCCTTCTTAATTTGTGTTTTTTTAGAAACAAAAAAAAAACAAAAAAATATTAGGCAACATATTTGTAGTTAATGTTTTAAATGTTCTCTTCCAGGCTCATGAAAGGTTAGATAACATTTGTATGCCTTTTATCTTGCTACTCAGGTATTTCAGTTGTTAGGTTCTATTTTGCTAAGTGTTCTGAAACCGTTCTTTATGTAGCATTCATTCTTAGATTATTCTCATTTTTAGTTTTCTTTACTACTTTTGCTTAGGATTCTTGACCTCGACCCTTCGTAGATACTAAAAAGTAAAAACTTTCCTTACCATGTATCCAGTCTAAGTTTAAAAAACACACTTGCACATATGCCTGGTTTGACCAAAGTAGTTTTCAAAGATCTGTTTTATAAATCCCCATTCCCCAACTGCTGAACATTTAAATTTTAGATTTATATTTACGATAAAAATTTGTGCACATATTGGGGGGCAAAATTATATGTTTAACTATCTGTTTCTCCTCCTCCATGGTTACCTTGTGTTTTAATCAATTATGAAACACCATGTAATATGGCCTGTTAATTGTTTTAAGTTTCTCTTTTACTACATGTTTACATGTCATGTTGACTAAGTTAGTTGAGCTGGCTACATCCTCCCCAGGATACCCTATACCTTTGTAATTTGGGAATACCTGTGCAAATGCTGGCCTATTTTTTTAACCGCTGAAACAATCCATTGGAGTGGAATTACAGTAGCACTGAGATTAGCCAGTAAGATGGATGTGGGGGAGAGAAAAATGTAAGCCGAGTATTGTACGTCCCTTTGTTAAGTAATTTGAGGAGCTAACATCACTCATCTTAATACAAAGTGTAATTATTCCATGCTCTCCATTACCTATTGTATTTTAGCTATTAAATATACGGGCATGAAATTATACAAAAGAAGTCTGAAAGTGTTGGTTGGTTGTGTGAAGAAGTTGCTACAAAGTGTATATAGATGGGGGCCAGTGAAATCCCTTTTTGTCAAATTTACTTTTACATGCTATTTTAGACTCATGTGGTTCTCTTCAATAACGAAATTTTGTTAGGACTCTCAAACGAGATAATTGGAACATGAAAAGGCAAGCATTTGGCTGAGCAGTGAATCTACATATGTACAACGTGTCTTCCTCTTGAAATGGTCCAAGATGAGAGTGATTTCTGCTTATTTGGACCCCACAAATCCCACTTTGAAGGAAAGAATGACAACAGGTAGAATAGAAAAAGTTAGGTTTAATACACTTTCCATGTTATTTAATCATTTTAACTACTATCATATTTATTTTTTATTCATAGGGGAATGCATTTGATATATTGACTTTTCACGATTAGAGCTATTTGATTTAATAAATAGTTTATGACTTAAAAAATTTCTAAAATTGCAAATGTGCTCCTTAATTAGCTGATGTTTGCAGATATCGACTCGCTCTTTTGAGAGCTCTTTTCCTAGGGTGCGCCGCTAGGTTTTCCTTTCGATTTCGATCTCACCGATCAAAGATCGATTCCTATGTTTGTTTCGATTTTACACACAGAGACTACCGTCTACCGGCGGCCGGCGAGAGTCGTGCGGTTTGGTTGTGGCGACGATTACCGTAAAACAAATATAGTAAGCAGTTTTGGATCGTGATCTTGCTCGGGTTATGGACTCATCACTTGTGCCACTGGTTTCGATTGGGAAGGTAAGCATGGATTATGGGTTCATTCGGGCTATAATCATAGGGATTAAGAAGATGCCAGTGGAAATTGTGGTGGTGGGTTTGCAAGGAATGTTTCAAGATGAATGGTTAATGATCCGCCCCCCTCTCGAGCCACCGCCGAGGATGATGTATGAAACATGGATTCGGTTGCTCTGTCAGTTTATTTTATTAACTTTCGTTTTAATCCACGGTCAGTCTATTATGTTTTGTTTTTACTCCTTTTTTTGCTGTAAAACTCTTGCATTAGGTTTGGGGGTTGAGAGGTTTACCGTAATCGCCGTTAGCTTTAATTTTCCCAAGTTAGGTCTAGCGAGTTATATTGCTTTGTCAAAGGTGATTAACTCAGAGTCTCGGCCAAGGGCTGATGATTACATGTGGTCCTTTCACGTTCTTGTACCCCTGCTGAATACTATTTTAATGATATAAGCACCTTACGATAAAAAAAATAGTTTTTGACTTGGTTGTATGACTGATATAGATTGTACCAATACTTTATCCTTTTAGAAAAATTAGCAAATTTAGCTACTTACGTCAAATAACCATTATTGAATGGAGACTGATTTTAGTCAAACTAACCATTGCTAAATGGAGCCTAAATCAGGACACTGGACTGTTCTCATTCTTTATGTTGGTATCATTACATTTTTGAAGACTAGAGGTAATGAATTGGTGTATTGAGTGGGTGGAGTCACCTGCAAAACTGCGTAAATAGAATATGAATGACCAAGTAGTTAAAAAAATTATACAACATACTTGCACTTGATACATTTTTAAGGGGTTCGAGTACTCAATTGCATCATCCAGCCCTTGCACTTGTATTGTAAGCTTTCTCCTACTCTGTTGTCCACTTTCAGAGGTCACTTTCTTCTGTCAGCTTTGTTCATCATTGCTGTTGTGTGGAATTCCTTCCTGTTGATGGTGTAGGTGGCAGCATTGTTCATCATTTAGATTACACGGCTTTGCTGAATTGGTTAAGTTAACTTGGAGCAACCCAATTGTGAAGAAAGATTGCTATGTAGGCCAATGTGTGCATTTACTTACCCGGGAAATTGTTTAGCAGTTATCTCTTGTTCTCTAAGGTCGTCAACCAATTTTTAAACTAAATATATGATCATTTGAGCTCACCTATGTATGTGTGGTGGGTGTGTCAGGGTAAGTCTATTTCTCATCTTTATTATGGATAATTTGTTTGAACTAAAAGATATGGAGTGCACAAATTGGAGAGACCAAAAAAAGAATCAAATTATTTTAAAGTGATACATCATCTGTTCTGTAGGTGTTAGGATGTTTTTCACTAATTTTTTGTCACTAATTTTTCACTAATTTTTTCCTGTATATTGAATTTTAAAGTTAGGCATATATAGGCGTATTCCACATACAATATTGGGCATTTTCCTCACCGCGCAACGCGCGTGTAAAAACTAGTTATCTAAGAAACGGAGTTGAGGATGACTGATGATCATTAGCGTGTTATAAAATTATAATTATATATACACCCCCCAAGAGAAGTAAATATGATATAGTAACTTAGTAACTTCGATCACTATTTTACTTGGTTAGCAATCCTTAGCATTCTTAATAATATTACCAAAAGTAAACTTTTGTTGTTCGGATATACTCCGTACATATCTAATTTAAGAACGCGAGGGAGTTTTTTGTGCACGATGCCGACGAAATAACCCCATTTTGGTTTTGGAGGTAGTGAAGCTAGCAGTTATTTACTCGCTATTAATGAAATTCTTGTTTTTGCGGCCATTTAATTCCCATGTGCCCAACTTTGTTGTAACCAACATTTTTGGAAGGGGACGGTGGGAGATATTGTACAAACAACCTTAGATAGAATGGAATAATACTTCATAACTATTGTACCTATGTTGCTCTTGAATTGAAGCAATATATTATATATGGACAGCTTTTATACGATATATTATCCTCGGTTTCTTTTGAATACGTTTTATTTATTAATGTATGAGAATTACGAATTTTCATTATCCGATTTTTAATTTTTGTTTTAAATAAAGAATTAAATATAAGGACAATCAAAGTTGTGTGTTGACAAGCGTGAAAATGAAAATGTCGCAACTAAAAAAGAATTGATGAAGTATATATGTGTAATTAAACAATATTCAAGTCCAATAATGTCTGATATTATTGTTTAAAACTATTCTGATCTTATATGGTTTATGTTAGTAATATCTATTATAGTGTTGTATGATTTGTTTTAGTGAACTCTAGTCTGTTTTAGTTAATATGGTCTTTTCATTAAAAAATTGAAGTAATTATAATCAGTTTCTTTTAGAGATAATAGCCCTAAATAGGACTAAACTAATCCCTAAATGCACAAATAAGACAATGTTATTTATCTTTCTCAAATAGGACAAAAGTATACACTATCTTCCGATTCTACCCTTACCATAATTTAATAGGATAATTATTTTTTAATTTGTAATAAATACAAAAAAAAATTAACTTATACAAAAAATCATATAAATAAATAAAAATCTAAAATACTTTTTAAAAATAAGAAAAAATAATAAAAACAAAAAATACTTTTTAAAAAAATACTTTAAAATAAATAAAAAATAGATAAAACACCTTATAAAATATAAAAATATGGACGCCTTTCTCACAGTCCCGGCCACTGCCCAACAGATAATGTTACCTCTGATAGGAGAAAAAATGTCATTTTGAGTAAAAACTGTCATCTTTGTTTGAAAATGCCATAGAGATAACATTTTATTCGTGAAAATGTCAAATTTTTCTCGAAAACTGCCCTCAAGATTGCATTTCTGACACATGTTGGCATTTTGTTTCCGGTGATAGGAGCTGGTGATGCCCAGAGGATGACAATTATGATCGATCTTGTGGATATCCGGACCAAACCACTTTGATCAAAATAGGGAAAATCACATTGATTGGTTAATTAGTGCGGGGCAGAGAATACCCATTTTTTTACGGGTAATGGGGCGTTTATGGTTTTCTACATGCCCGCCCCATTACCCTCCCCGTTTACTATTAGTTATATTTTTATTGCAATGTTCCTATTATTTGTCCCACAATCAATAAAAGATGAGATTTTTCTCTTTTCATTGTATATGTATGAATAATGGATATACTAACTATACTGTGTGAATGACAGATTATAAGAGATTTTAATAGTTTTGTTTGATTATTACCGGATTTGTTTCATGATTAATTATTTTTCAATTTAAATATTTTAGGTTCAAATTAGTTTAGGTTGTGTTCTTTCTAGTGTTGTAGATATACGAAACTTTTAAGTGACGTCTGACATCTAGAGTCATCTAGGCGATGCTAATTTTTCATTTTAAAATATTAATTTTATATTATATTAAAATATCAATGACTCATTTAATAAAAGCGTTACCCATGGTTATACCCGTTAGACTTGGAGCGGTTTTGTTTGAATAAAAATTACTCGGCCACTAGGTAATGGGAATGTTACAGGGCGGGAATGTTACCCAATGCGGCAGGTACCATTATATGTATAATCATTCCCGATATGCCCCATTGTCATCTCTAGTGGTGCCGGGAGGTTGGTGATGCGGCAACATAGGCCTGCATTTTTTTATTTTAATTTTTTAATTATTTTTATAATTTTTTATTTATTTGATTCTTTATTTTTATTACGTATATATAATTTTTATTTCAGGTTTTCTTTTACATTTTTATTATAAATAACGCTCTGTTATTACTTTTATATTTTAATTATTAATGAAATATTAATTGTATTAAAACAAAGCAAGGGTATAATTGGAAAGCTAGTCATATATTTAGGGAATTTTAAGTTATGATTCTACTTTGATACGAAGTACTTAAAATTTCATTTAGTCTTATTTGAAAAATTCCCTGTTCTTTATAATATTAAATCCGAAAATAAAAATAGAAAGACATATTTTTCGGTGCCGAAAAATCTTCAATGTTCTTAGCTCTGTTTTGTTAGTTAGAGTTGACTTTTAATTATGTCCAAATGTTTTAACTAGAATATCAACGAAAAGCGTAAACCAAAATTTGCACACAAATAAGAGAAAATGGAAATTAATAATCCAACCTTTTAGCGATCTTCTTTTAATAGTCCGACTTTTTCGTTATTCATGAATAATCCAACCTTTGCACCTCATCTTCATTCATTGGTCCCCGACCGGTTGATGACCTGCTATTCCGAGTTATTTTCTTATCTCTGCAAACTATTATACCATAAATTCCACCTTTCACAAAGATAAGAAAATAACTTGGAATAACAGGTCATCAACCGGTCGTGGACCAGTGAATGAAGATGAGGTGCAAAGGTTGGATTATTCATGAATAACGAAAATGTGGGACTATTAAAAGAAGACCGCTAAAAGGTTGGATTATTAGTTTCCATTTTCCCCACAAATAATAAGAATGCTTTGTAACTTAATACGTAGTAATAATCACTTTAAGTTAATTAGTACTAGCATTGAGTGGTATTTAGCAAATCCGAGGTCACAATTTAGTCTACTTGGACTCTTGTCGACCGTAATGGCATAATCGCCTCATAGTAGTAAGCATGTTTTTACTTGGATTGTAATTTGTCCCAGACCAGGCTAGACCAGTCCAGACCAGACCAGACCAGACCAGACTTGGATAGTTATAAAAATACAAAGAAACCAGACCTTACCAGACCAGACCAGACCAGTTCAGACCAGACCAGATCAGACCAGACCAGACCAGCAAATTACAGTCCAAGTAAAAACATTCTAATTGGTTACGGGCATTATTATGGTCTTGTAGAAATAAAGCTTCAAACAAGAAATCGATCTCAACCTCATTTATTAAACTTATTAAAATCATTACTTCTTCCAACCCAAAATAAACATGTATTTATTTTTCGGTCCGGCTCTTGAAATGTCTTTTTCCTTATTTGGTAAACAAAATAATGCAAAATAGTGTCAAACAATATTAAACAGTTTCCAAATAGTGCCATTATTTAATTGTAAAAGTCAAACGGGATTTTTTACATTGGGACGAAGGGAGTATATGTTTTACGGTGTATACAATTTTAATCTGGGGTTCTAAGTTGATTCCTCAATGCAAAAATACTAGTACGAATTTTCCCAGGTCATGGTCTATGCGCAAATGAGAAAAAGAAAGCAGTGCCTTCTTACGTTAGTCACAAGTGGTAGTTATGAGCTTCAATTTGGTACAATTTAGTTTATTACTCCGTATAAATAATGCAAATCATACTTACAGCTAATGAGTATATTATTAAAGGGAGAATGACGTTTTAAAATAGGAAAAATTGATTGTAATAATCCCAACTATTGGTGGTCTGCTTATAATAATCCCAACAATTGATTATTTCAGAATAATCCCAACTTTAGGGTCCTTCCGCCAATAACAGTCCCTGTAAATAAATTCATGTACTTTCTGAAGTGGATGAGAAGAGATATAACAAGTAATCTCTATAAATAA